TATAGCTAGGGATGGGCATGAACCACATTTTTGCAGTTCATTGTTCATGGCTGAACTACACACCAATATGAACTGGAAGGTTGGTTTAAACCCTTGCTTTCTGCTCCCCGTGGCTTTTCACAGGGAGCAGAAAGCAGGGGGCCATTTAAAATGAACAGCTGAGCAGCAAGGAACTCCTGTCGCTCAGCTGTTTGGTTTAAATAGATGGGAGCCATTTTACCCCCTGCTTTCTGCTCTTCACAAACCACCATTAACTGCATCATGATTCCTGAAAGTTCATGGCAGTTCTTCAGTTCATGAACATTGCTTTGCAAACCACAAACCAGCCAAAATTCATGATGAACTTTAGTTCATCAGCTGGTTCATGCCCATCCCTATCAATGACCTCACATCCCTGCTGACTTCCTTCCTTATTCCAAATTCTGCCCTCCCCAGGTACTGCCCACTAATCCCCATGAATTTTCCAAGCCAGAGTTGACAACTTTATATACAGCTGAGATTTGAGTATCTTCAAGCAACAATTTCATAAATTCTATAGTCCAGACATTCAAGAAGGCTCCCCTTTCCCTATCCACTGCCTTCTTCCCAATTTAATTTTTGTGCCTTTAGCTCAATTGCTTTGATATTTATCTATCCCCCCCCCCAAAACAGAAATTCAAATTGAAACCATACACACTCAACCTGTCTTTTGGAAAGCAAACAGTGCCCCCTAGTGCTAGAAAGAGGGAAACACTTCAGTTTATAAACCGGGAAAGCCACCTCGGTGACAAAAAGGGGTGATGATTTGAGGCTTCTTTTCTAGGTTGCTAATGGCAAGCTAGAGCAGCAATTTTCTCTGGGCTGAGACAACAGACACTGGGACACATCCTGTTTCCCCTGATGCTCAGGAATAGGAAGTGGGGAAAGTAAAGGAAGAGAAAGGCATTTCAGAAGACAGAGAAAAGGGAAGCCAGAAAGAGTAAGAGAAGGCATGACTGAGCCCCATGAGGTGCCAATGGATGAACATTAGTTGTCTCTTCCTCCCTCTTCCTTTCCCCATTGTCTAAATTTAGATGTTAAGTGGCTTTAGCATAGGACTCAGCTTCTGTTACTGCCAGGGCAGGGCATCTGGAGATGAGACAGGTTCCTAAGCCAGTCTCCCAGGCAAGCAGAGATAGCTTGCCTCACACCACTTCACATTTTACTCAAAGTTGCTCAGACACAGCCAAGGGCAGGATCTGAGCTTTTATAGTGCCAGGAGGAACTCTACTGGCCACTCTGAGTCACCTGACTCTCCACTTAGTTGATAGCACTCAGGCATGCTGCTAATAGGGCAGGATCGCCCTCTTCTGGTAAGCTACCTTTTCATATGAAGAAAAAAATGTTAAAATCTAGGTAAGAGAACCCCTGATTCCCAGACTTAAATTACCTTTGCAAAGTACATTCTACCTTAATACAGATAAATTATTAACAAAAGGTGTAATTTATTGAGGTCTATTTATGCCCAAATTGGAGAAGACCTTTGCTGCAAGTGGACACGCTCGACTTGGGTGATATTTCTATGCCGTCTCTTCTCCAGCAGCCCAAATTAATACTCACAGGCATTCATTCCAGAAGTCCATTACAATTAAAGCACCAGCAGGCCTTTATTTAGAAACATTTGGCTAACTCTCTTCCAATTTACCCTGAAGATGGAGATGACAACTCTGTGACAGGTTGGTTTCTTAGCATCTGTGCATACCGATGATTTATTGTTATTGGGGGTGAAGCTTGGACCCTCGCCTGGCCTTTCGTTTCAGCAGAAATACTCTGATTTGAATCCCTTTCCCCCGTTGCTTTAATGGCATCCAATCTTCTGTTTATACAATGAATATTTATGAAGGCCTTAATCAAGAAGATGGAGCGCGTGCAGGGGGAAGGGGGGAGGAAAGGAGAGGGGTTTTGTTCATATTAGTTAGACGCATCGCTGAGCCTTGTTAGTATGCAAGTGGCTTAATTTCTTGATTAAATTACTTCTTACAAATATAATATTGGAATTTAACTTCCACCTTTTAAAAACCAAAGTGGGGGTGGGGGTTGAAAATCAAGAGAGGAAGAAGTGGCCCTTAACCAAACTGGACCTCCTGGCAATGGTAACCCCCAATTCCTACACTGGTTGGGGACAGGGTCCAAGGAATCTTTTTCTCACTCGTCTTTCACTGATTCAATTGCTGGGTTGGCATCAGATATAGAGACACACTCCCAACAGCGACAAGCAAAGCCGTGGCTTTATGAATTCCTTCTGAACTATGATCAAAATCCACTGTGCCTTTCTTTGCGGTTGCACGAATCCCACTGGGGCTTCTAGGGAAGTGATGCTCAACTCCAACAAAAGTGCGTGCACACACACACCGAGTTGTTCTTCCCATTTTCTTTAAAGTGCAATACCCCCAAAAGAGGACACCCACTTATCCATGATCTGGAATACAGCTGGTCTTTTCTTTCTTGGGAAGCACCCCACAGGTTATTCCACCATGGCTTCCCCTCTCACCTCTTGTTCTGGCTCCACTTCCCTTCAGAGTCGGGTCCTTGTGGCATGTAGGAAACTTTGCATGGATTCATGCAAAGTTTGGTGTAGTGGTTAAGTGCGTGGACTCTAATCTGGGAGAACCGGGTTTGAGTCCCCACTCTTCCACTTGCACCTGGCTGGATGACCTTGGGCAAGCCATCGTTCTGGCACAGCTGTTCTTGAAAAAGAGCAGTTTCTGTCAAGAGTTCTCTCAGCCCCACCTACCTACCTCACAGGGTGTCTGTTGTGGGGAGGGGAAGGGAAAGGAGTTTGTAAGTCGCTCTGAGACTCCCTTGGGTAGTGAAGGGCGGGGTATAAATCCAATCTCTTCTCTTCTTCTTCATGGTGAACTGTATTATTTATACATTGGACAATTTTACTGTTTTTTTTTTTTAAGTAAAGTTGTTGGGTTTATTTTGAAAATACACTTTTCTTATACTACTGTTCATGCTAAAGGAAACAAAAAACTCCCACGTAACCAAAGGAGCCAAGCCAATTATACTGTTAGTTAAAGGCTGTTGGGTACGTTGACTGCAGTTAAACACACAGTTAACACACAGTTAAAATTCAAGAAAAGCTTGGAGTTGGTGTGGCAAGACCCTGGAGACTTCTCTGGGAAGGTGCTCTATTTCAGGACCTTGGACAGTCCTAGAGAGTTCTTCCTTGTTCCCTATTCCACCCACAACCACATCTTTCATCCACAATCACATTTTAAGATTTCAGGTTCAAAGGTATTGCAATTTTTTTTAAAGAGCAAGCTTTCAGTACCAAATTAGAACATCACAAGGCTTCAGAGTTTGGTGACTTGGATTTCAAAATCTGGCTAAATTTCCATAGCAAACTTAAGGCAACAGAGGGCTTTGTGGCATATTAAAAACTTAGCAATTTAATGGGTCCGAAGCTTTTGTTGACTAGCACCCACTTCACTAAGCCTTATCCTTAGTTGACTGATATTATAAAAATTATAAATATTTTTCCTTTACATCTTCCTACTCCATGTGTCTGACAAATTTGACTCTAGTCCACAAAAGTTATGGCCAGAAGAAATCTGTATGCTTTGAAGGTGCTGCAAAGCTCTTTGTCTGTCCCTTTGGAATTAGTGACAATGCTTGCTGTCCCCACCCACCACCCCCAGATCCAATCTGGTAAGGGAAATGCATTTCGGACCTTGTGCAAATGTTTGCTTTCTTATTTTCTATCACAGATGTAGCCAGCAGAACTTTAATGATCCCTGAACCAAAAGGGCCCACTAAAGAAATTCAGTTGAGCCCTTGAAGAGGTGCAAGATCCAGCAAACTAATCAGGAGGTTGATTAATGACTTCTCAGAGGAAGACAATCACTGAAACTAACACAAAGTAAAGAAAAACAATTTTTACAAGTCTATCAAATCCAGAAGCAGCAGACACATCAAGTAAGTTGTCTGACATTCGTTCTTCATTTTATTGTCTGGTCTGAGTAGCTATTTTGGTGGAAGAAAAAATTATTAGTATTTATAGAACAACCTTATTTTACAAAGATTTACAGCTTTGGGGAAATGACGGGCTGGCTCTGGTGTACACCATTAAATAACCAACCACCAATTATCTACTTAAAAAAAATTCCAAAAACAATAATGCAGCCCCCCAAATCAGGAAAATGTTTGGGTAGATTAACCTTTCTATAACAACACAAAGTAAAGTAAGATAATGTCAATAGGTTTGTAAGAAAATGGGCTGGAACAGGAGAGCACAAATCAATGAGATAGCTAATGAATTACATGAAGACCAACATATAAGATGGTTTTTCCAAGTATTAAAGTCTTCCTGTAAAAGGTTTATCGTGTTGTTTTCACATGACAAGGCAGTTGTACAAAGTAGCCCTCAAGGGGGGGAAAAAATCTGAGGTCAGCATATTGAACAAAACTCTTGCCTTTCACAGATTTTCTTTCATGTGGTAATGCAGGATTCCCCCCACCCACCCACAGCTCTGTTTCACACAGACGCCTCTCTACCTGACAAGAACATAAGCAAATATGTTGTGTGAGGACTCTACTGTATCATAATATGAATTTGGCCCAAAGATAAAAAGCCAAAATGCTCTCTCCTCTCTCAGAAATTGGCAAAATGCGTGCTTCCTTTCCTGGTTGTGAGAAGAGGCCAGTGACTCCCTGTATGTCTTTAAAGGAATAGCAGTCTCTTAAGTGATGAGGTTCCAGGCTTGCTCTCAATCTAAGGTATGAATTCTGCACATGTTTAAAATTTCTCATAGGCTTCCCATTCCCTGCAATCTAAGCTACTCACAGTAGCCAAGTGCTGTCTTTTCGTCAATGCGGAATGAACAGACAGGATGATTCCCAACAAGGTGGATGATCCTTGTCCACATGGAGTATTTCTTTTGGTTGGTTCTCCATTTCTTTAGTCCACAGCCCTAGTACGTTGTTCCTTTAAGGTCAGTGGTGGAGGTTTTGCCAACTTAGTTCTTCCTTGACTAAATTCAGTACGAAGGACCTTTGATGGCACCTGGTTCAGTCAAGCGGGCTGATGCATATGCAGAGGCACCTAAACAGGCAGCCGCCTCACAGAATCCAGGAAGTCCAGAAGGCCCTGGTAAGCCAGGACGTCCAGTTTCTCCTGAAATACCCGGAGAACCTTGTTCACCATCTTTGCCATTGATGGCATGACCAGGGTGACCGGGGAGACCTAGAAGAACAAAATGGATGAGTTTTTGCATGCCTTCCAGAACATATTCTCTCTCTCTCTCTCGCCACTTCCTCCAACACCTCTGAGCACTGCCCATTATGATATCACTTCCTGCAGAAGCCACTAGGCATGTGCGCTCGGTATATACTGAACCAAATAAATACTCAAAAAATATCTTATTTGTATTTTTCAGGTATTTATTCAGCTACTGAAATAGCCACACCCAAATAAAAACTGATATTATTCGGGTTTTATTCAGGCGCAGTTAGAAGGCATTTAAAAAGACATGGCAAGCAAACTCAGCAAGCATTTGCTGCCGCTGTGGCGCAACTTGCCAAGTGAACTCAGCAAGCATTTAAAGTTTAAATCCCTTCTCCATTATGCCCTATGGAGATGGTCCCCATAGGATATAACGGAGCTGAATACATTTGGGTTTCCTGAACGTTTACCCAAATACCAATACAAAACTGATATTGGTATTCGGGTATACTGATATTTTTCAGGCCCAATAGACCCAAATTAGGGGGGAAACTGAATTTTTTTTTGCACACCCCTAGAAGCCACAGCTTGTTTGGAAGACGGAGTTGGTTCGTCATCACCAAATGGACCCCTGAGCCAGCTCCAGCATATATATTCTATAGGAGCTGAAATGCCAGGGCCCTTTTTGACATCTCAGCCTCTGCCTGCATATACAGAACATTTTAATATGAACATTTTATATGGAGAAGCTCCCAGTCATGTGATCCATGTCCGTGCAAAACAAAGAGGGGAGAGCCCATCATATAGTTGGGACCTGTATTATGTTGTTTTTACTGAATTGCGTTCCAATTTCCTTGAGTCTCAGTGAGAAAGGTAGACTATAAGTAAATTCAGTAAGGAAATAAATACATACCTAGCTATTACCCTTTGCTTGTAAGTCCCACCATGTAAACCAGACTGATGTTAAGCTCTTATGGGACCCCATCTAAAGACCTTCAGGTCTAGAAGTTGAATCATTGTAGACTTAGAACTTTCCTTCACTCTCTTATCACAAACTCTGCCAGACTGTGACGGATTCCCACGTGAATTTGCCGCATCCTGAGCCAAACCCTTGGATCTATCCAGGTCAGTTTTGTCTTCTCTGACGTGCAGGGGTTCTAAAAATGGAGACCTCCTCCATCATCTACTACCTGATCTTTTCAGCTGGATATGCCGGGGATTGAACCTGGGACCTTCTGCATGAAGAGCTGATGCTGTACCCTGAACCACAGCCCTGCCCACGAACATGAACTCATGGAGCTGCCTGCCACTGAATTAGAGTGTTGGACTATCAAGGTCAGTCTTTTCTACCCTGGCTGGCAACAGCTCTGTAAGGTCTCAGGTCAAGGGCTTTCATATTATCTATTACTGGATCTATTTGACTAGAAAATTTGGGGATTGAAACAGGGACCTTCTGCATCCCAAGCAGGTGCTCTACCATGGAGCCATGGCTTAGATCTGGGAACTGTACATAACCCACATGAGCTGCTGCCTTAGACACTCTACCATTGGCTTCTGTTGAGCAAGCTAGGCCTTCAACTTGCCTGACCCTTCTTGTTCCAGCTCGCAGCCTTCTTCCTCTGCTGCTCCAGACCATGGTACTGTTACCCTGGACGCAGCTCTTTTTTAAAGTTTGCAGGACCTTAAATCTGGCCTTGTGACCAAACTCACTCATGACAGTTCCTCTGTTGACCCAATCTTGGCACACGAGTCAGTAGGGTTCCAGCTTGTGATGGGATGCTCCATACCACATTGCCACTGCCCTGCTAACCCTTTCCCTTATGCCCTCTTGGCACCAAATCCGACACTTGCGAGGGAGGGCAGCTCAGAAAATGCACCAACACATGTTTTCTGTCAATGTGCCACTTCGACTGAGCACAAAGACCATGGGAGCAGGGCTGTATAGTGGGAAGAGATGCCCTCTGACCCCTTAACAACCAGCACTCTTTTTCTCTCCCCAGACACAGCAAGACATTTCAAGTTGAACCAGAGCACAGCTGCCTCCTCCTGACAGGTTGCAGAACTTTCCTCTCTCAGGAGATAGCCGCACAGAAGGGGGGGAAGAAGGAGAAGGAGAAGAAGTAGCTGCTCTCCTCCACCTCAGGGCACATGAATGGACACAACTATCCGCGTTCTCTGGCAAAGGGTCCCCCTTAAATGCAGCAGCCCAACCAATTGTTTTTTTAAAGAAATACAGGCACTGTGCCATGCATCCCCCTCTTGTGTTTGTGGCCATGCCCCCGCGACACAGTAGGCCATGCCCTTGCCAACAATATTCAAGAGATCACTGACCAGCAGGCATCCA